TCGGGCGCGGCGGCGGCGCCGCTGCAGGACGCGGAGCTCGCCCTGGCCGGCATCAACATGCTGCTCAACAACGGCTTTCGGGAGTCGGATCAGCTTTTCAAACAATACAGGTGAGCGGCGCGCCCCGCGCCCTGGCCCCGGGACCACCCCTCCACCCCCGCCACTCATCCCCGCCCCCTCCCGGGGCCTCCCCAGGCCTGGTCTGCAGCCGGTTCCTCTGCGCCTTTGCCCCAGCGCCTCCCCCGCCCCCGCTGTCGTCCCTCCTCGGGACCCCGCGCGCCTGCAGTCTCCTCTCACTTTCTTTCCAGCCTCGGCCTCCGAGGAGCGCCTGGAGCGTGCACCCCCACCGCCTCGGTGGTCGCGGTGTCCGGAGCCGGCTTGCTTTGGCATCCGATGCCTTTGAAGCCGAAGCGAGCCTGGGGTTGTGACTCCCAGCTCGCGCGCTGCACGGCAGCCTTTGTGACACGGCGCACAGCAGCTGTCTGGTGCCCGCTGCTTCGTGCGCCTTCCATTGCTTCGCATCGTTGTGCGTTCCAAACACTTTTATTGTTTGGAGACAGATGTACGTAATTGTCAGACCGTGCAGGAATTTAAAAATTCCAACCCAACTCCACTAGCTCGTTTCTCAGCCAGTCTTCTAAACACTCAGTTCTGGAAATGAGTGAATTTCTCTAACGTGAAAGAAGGAAGAAGAAAATGGAGGGGTCTTAAAAAAAATATGTAAGAGAGTGGAAGGAGAAACACGTGTGTCCAGTTAATTGTTTTTCTTTTAAAAAAAATAAAGCGAAAGAACTGAAGCCTAGTATAGCTTTCTTGTGAGTGTGGGAGGAGCCTTCGCTTCACTGGGGACCCGAAGCAACCGTTTTCTGGTTGAAGAAGCAGGTTTGTGATTTGCCCTGTGAGTGTTGACAAAGCTGATTAGGAGCTTTCCTGAACGCTTTTAAGGGCCATATGCTTCCTACCAGTGCTTTATGAGCGCCCTGATCGAGGTATGGTGCTGTTGTGATGGACAGCCAGAGAGTAAGAAAACTTCTGCCTAGCCAAGCTGCTGCATTGTTTACGGCAAAGCTACTGTCTTACAGCTGTGAACTTCTCACTCATGCTCTTTTACTTTGGTTTTATTCGCATTGCTACCTTTTTGCAGTGCAAGGTGTTTCACTTTTAGGTCAGCACCCCCCTTGATCTGAAAGTGAAAGTGACATAGCTTTATTCAGAACATTATTAAAACAGGCGAGTCTGGTTTCAGGCTATAGTTTCATCAAAAGCTGTTGATGGAGAGTTTGAAAAATTTACTCACTTCACTGTATCCCTGTGGTAGTGTTTTAGCCCGATTAAAGTGTGTGTTGAGGAAAATATGTGTTAATGGTCCATATACTAGGCAATGGCTTTTTGGACTACCAGTTTGTGTGGAAGAAGGGTAGAGAAAGTAGTCAAACTTACTCTCCTTTCTGGCTGATCATATCTTAATTCTTGCATATCTTAATTCTTCTTGCTTTGAAGTAATCTGCAGCGTTTTATTTTAATGGTCTTTTTTCCCCTTTCTACATGTATGTTGCTTTAGTGTACTTAAATATTACCTTGCGGTCCTTTTGCATCAAAAGCATGACATTTTTGCTTTGTACGGTTTTATGCTCTGTCAAGAGAGGGCCTATCAAATACTCTGGCATCGACAGCAGAGAGATGCTCTGTGATTGGTATTTCTTTGGGTGAGGGAGGGAGAGGTGTCCAGAGAGGATTTACCCTGGGTATGGAGGTGCTCTCTGCTTGTATTTGGAAATGGGAACTAAAGATAAAGAAGAAAAAAAGTTGCAATACCTATCCTCTGCCAAGCACAAGTGCTAGACAGATTGCCTTATATATTCTTCCTGCTTAGATGACAACAGAAGAGTGAGATGTATCTTAAGACAGTTTTAGAAGGAGAGGCTGGAGGCCTGTTGTTGGGTCTGTATCCTTGGACTGGGATACAAACACTAGGTTCTAATTCAAAGGCTCTTTCATTTTACCGTTCTGCCTCTCTCTTACCAAACTTACTATATTTTGTAATCTTCCCTGTGACCTTTTTCTTTTTCCCAGCAATGTTAAAAAAACTTTGACAGGGGTGGTGGGAGGAAAGAGAACAGAGGACGACAGGGTCAGTGTTCTCTATCTGCTTTCACTCAGTAAATACTAGCCAGCCTTTGGATTACTTTGCCACTAGTGCTGGGTTCTGCTTGTGATGGCACAGTTTGAGTACAAGACAAGTGTTCTGTGTACTGGTAGCTGGTAGTTTTCTCTGTAAAGCTCATCTCACAGTTTACGATTGAAAGGCCTAAGAGCTTGTTACACTTTGGGAGGCCTCTCTTGCTGTCCCAAAGGTGAATGGCCTGCTGGAAGCTCAGCGCTGACTCCATGAGAAGTGGTTAAAGACCACCTCTAACTCAGTTTTCCCACAGAAAAGCAATAAGCAAATGTCTAGCTCTGTCTCCTCTTTTATAATTGTTTTATTCCAGGGTCCCAGCCTCCCCCGACTGGTAAACCTTCCAAAGTCTTGTTAAAGTCAAACAAAGAAACATTTTGTGTCTAGTATAACGGTAACTTTTTTTATTATTATTAAAGAAGGTCATTTTCTCATGCCACATTACTGGGATGAAAAGTTTCAACAGCAGCTACCTAATGAGAAGCAGTCACTTTGCAGAAAGGCCTTCTAAATGTATGGGAAGTGTGCATTGTATACATCAGATGTCATTCACATAGGAATTGGACTGGCACAGCAGAGACCCACGGCTCCCTAGTTGGGATTTCCAAATGAAGCTGCGCCTTCTGTTATAACTGTAGTAATAATATGGTGACTGAGCCACTGTCATGCACTTGGACATACTTTCCCAGAGATTAGGACAGTTTTGTGCTGTGTAGTGGGGTGAATATGGCTGTGTCCCCCAAGACTCCATTGTGGTTAACCGTCTGGTCCCGTGATGGTGTTTTTGGATGGCGGCAACACCTTTTGGAAGTGAGGCCTACTGGGAGCATCTTTGGTCATTCCTGGGAGGAGATTGCTGTACTATAGACACAGCAAGGCTGGCCCTGCCCGTGTGTTTTCCCTGAGCTTCTGAGATGTGTGTGACCATTTGTTCCTCGATGTGCTGCCATCTGCCACCCCACCAAAGGCCAAACTGATGGACCTTTGAATCTTGGACTTTGAATCTTCAGAGCTCTGAGCTACATAAAACTCATTTTCTGCATGAGTAGCCTGAGTCAGGTATTTCACTGTAGTGACAGAAAGTTGACTAATAAATGCTGCTTCAGGACTTTTCTGCTTTGAGCCCCAAAACATGTGTGTAAGTTCATGATACTGCCTAAATGACTGCTGATCTTGGTCTCACAGCTCAGTGTTGTAATCCAGCAGCATTCCCTGTACACACACACACACACACACACACACACACACACAGACACACACACACACTGGGTAGATGTTCGCTTCTGTGACCCGCTCACTGCTTGAGGTCCATGGGCACCTGATAAGGTAGCCTGTGCTGTAGCCCGTAGGAATGGAGAGAAATGTCTCACCCAGCCAGAAGGAAATTTTGTAGGGGAAAGGTCTGAGCTTCTTGATGGGGTAGAAAAGGGAGTGAGTGGAAGAAGGAGGAGTTGGGGAGGGTGAAGGAAGAGGAAGAGGACGATGTGAGAGGTGGTGAGGTGTAAATGAAGTCTAGGAGTGGAAACCCACATGAAAATGTCACAGAAGGGCCTGGGGAGGCGAGGGAAGAGTGGCCAGCTGATGGGTATTGTTAGGGGGTTGTGTTGGCTGGCTCCTTTACCCCCTGTTACTTTCATCTCACCACTGGTTGGTCTGTTTCCTGTGACTCATTTCTTCAGCGTTCCATGGCTGTCTGGTGTCCCCTCAACTTCATTTTTTCCACGACCCTTGTTTATAGTCTTGCTGTTGCCTGCATAACTCTTGGCACTGTGGGGCTTTAGGATCTTACTTTTGCCATCTTTGCTTCTTTTTGACTTGAAATATTACTGTGCTTTGTAATCCGAGGACTGGTAGGAGAGGTGAAACAGTGGGCCCTGAGAAACGCTGGAGACATTGGAGGCTTGTGGCCCCAGGGAGCTTTGTAGTTTTTGTTTGTATAGCCCTGACTCGTAGCTTCCTTCCTTCCCCTCAAGGCTGCCGTGCCATCTCTTGTCTTCCCCTCTGGCATCCTTTGTGACTCCAACCTTGTATAGTTTTTACTCTGTTAGTACTACTACAGACTTTTGGCTGTGGATATTATAAAAAGTTATACTTAGTCATCATCCAGTAAAATAAAAAGTATAATAAAAGAGGTACTTAACGTACATGAAACCCTAGGTTCAGTCTCCGCACAGGAAGAAAAGCCACATATGATGACCATTATGAAGTGTTCGCTTATGGTAAATACGGAAGAATAAAGAAGGATTTGATATAGAATTACTCCATGGTCTTATAAAGTGTGTTTTTTCCATACTAAGTTATAAAATGCCAAAAATATATTAAAAACAAAAAGCAAGAAAAATTCATGGCAAGTAATGTACAAAGGGCAATTGAAGACTATGGTGAAATTAAATTAAAAATTTATTACAATAAAGGACAAATTTTCATGAATCCTTCTCAGAATACTCCCCCTCACTTTGAATACACTTAGTACAACATTCTTGGCAATGTGTCATTTTGTTGTAATAAGGTTTTAAAATTAAAGGCACTATTTTTTTTATCACTCCTTGTATGTATATAGGTGAACGTATAGATCCTAAGTTGTGTTACACAATTTATGGTGCATAGGACAAAGCCATAGTATATGTGGCCTTACTTTGTGAGCGTGTTGACTGTGGATCCAGTATTACCATAGTGATGGTTCATTATAATCCAGGAGTTGGTACACTGTGACCCATGAGTCAACTCTACCCTGCTGCCTGTTCTTATAAATAAAGTTTTATTGGGACGCAGACACACTTACTGGTTATATCTGGTCTGTGGCTCTTTGTGCACTGCAACTACAGAAATAAGTAGTTATGACCAAGATCATGTGGCCTGCAATGCCTAATATTAACTCTCTGGTCTTTTGTACGTTTGTTGACTTCTGGTACAAACCACGGACCTTCCTGCAAA